GCTCAGGGTGTGTGTGCATACAGAAAGGGTAGCTGAGGGGGAGCTCCTGGCAAGGCAGACAACCCTGTCATCACCTCTGCCCCATGTCAAACAACTGATCAGCATCAATGGTGCATGCATCAGGCACACGCATTTGAACAAACTCCTGCTGCACGGCCTGTTGCGCTTAAACAAGTTTGTAACTGCCTTTTTCCCTTGACTGAAACTCCCTACATTTACACTGTTGCATGTGATCAACTTACAAAGACAAACAGTTTAGCTAGTTTTTGAATAGCTGACCCAACCAGGCCAAGCAGGGTGAGGGGTGAGAGGGAGAGGTCAAAAGAAAAGGAACCGTTGAGAGAAAAGCTTGCAAAATAACTGAAAGGCTGAAGACACTTCAGCAGCAAGTTGAAATGAATTCCTTCTTGTTATGGAAAGGGAATGGTGCAAAAAAGCATAAATGCATAAGAAAGACCAACAATACAATGTTTATCAGGGAACTGCCGCTCTGCTCTGTCAGCACTCTGACATTTTCTGCAATGTGTTTGTATGAAGCCTAAAAAGTCATCATGCACAACAGGCCGTGGAAAATGTATGTTGGGGTGTGTGAATATGTAAGATCGAGGGGGGGGGGGGGGGGGGGGGGGGCAATGTGTTTTAGGCGCTGTGTTACCCCCTTCCCTGCAGAAGTGCATGATGCCAATGTTTTGTGATTGCTTGGATGAGCGCAGCATCATAAATCGAGAAGATGTAGGGAAAAAAAAGAGAAAACAGGAAGGTGCAGTAAAAGTTTTAAGGAAGAAATATGTTTAGGTGTTTTTGCTTAGTGAGCAAAATAAATCTATTGTAAAACCATTGCAAGCTACAAATCCTAATTATTATTATAATTGGAACTTTGACAGTCGTATCTAAGTGGTTCTCTTGCATGCACACACAAACAATTCTGCAGAAACACCCATGGCTTAGAAGGGTTAAAAGAGGATTTTGCCATAATTCAGAATGTCTGACAGGTTTATAGCTCTGTCAGGAGCCTCATTTGGGACTAAAGCGTGATAGAAGAACGTTACTCGTGGCAAATATAATTGTGGTCATGCTCTAACCATAAATCATGGCATGGATGGATCCCATTTGCCTAGTAGCTGCATGGGGGGTGGATTCCAATGCATTAGGTGACCTGTGGGATGTCAGTACACACACCTCCCCAACGTTCACAAGGAAGAGAAATGCCAAAGTGGATGTGAATGGTTGCTTTCTATTATCTATTTAGAGGTTTTGCAACAGTAATTTCTGTAAAGTTGCTAAGATGATAGATATCATGATACCGATTTTGTTATTTAACCTAAAATACCCTCCATAGCTACAGTGGGCTTTTACGAACAAGACTTGTCGCATTCAAGAAACATTTAACTTCAGTAAAAGCTCATGAATGAATCTCGTACACTTGATACACTCCATCTGTACGTAAGTTAGCGCGAGTTCCCAAAAAATTTAAATTTACATAGTTAGCACACAAATAATTTCATATAAGGCTACGAACACCTGTGTGTTCATTCATATGCCATTGAAGACCAAGAAAAATGTAAATCAAGGTCTGTTGACTGAAAGCATCACAATTAAAGGACCAATAAAAAGCCAAGCAGTGGGAAATAAATTGCAAAAGCTGTAAATGACGTGGTCGCATTGCTACAGCTGTAAAAATAAAATAAAAGCATAAAAATAATATAAAAATAAAAATCAGAAAACAGCAAGTGAAAACTACTAATGGAGGTAAGAGGTGCAACATGTTATGTTAATGCTTAATATGAGTTCGCCAAATAAAAAAACACATCAACATTCTGCTAAATCTTCTTTTAAGACAAACATGTGCTGTATATTTCAAGAGCACAACATATATATATTGTTGACAGTAAAACTCAAATTCAACAAAGTAAGACATACTAAACCCAAATATTCCACATATAGTGACAAAGCCAAGGTGCTGCAATGGAGTGAAATTAATGCAAGTCTAGATGTTATTTTCATAGTTGCTTAATCTTTGGTTGAATCGCTGTTCTTTATTTTGACTAGATGACAACTAATTTAACTAATTATGTCCTCTGATACTGAAATCCCAGCTGCAGGTGTAGTGACCAATAATTCTGTCATCGGCGATTAAAAATGTAATTTTTCATAATATATTCATGATATATAATGACGTAGCTTCATGAAATTGCTTCTAAGTAAAAAAAAATGTAATTTAGTGAAAAGCTAGGTTTGAATAACAACTGACTGAATAAGCAAGACTCCTACGTCAAGTCTGGAGCACTCATAAAATTTAGAAATTATTAGAAAGTAGATCTATAAGATTAGAAATAGGAGGAAAATTGTGGATGCGACATTTTCTCTTAAATCACTCATACGAACGATTTAGGAATGATTTTCTTTGTATGAATGGTTCTTGCACGAGGTCCATTATTCTTACTTGTTTAGGGACAGCTACATTCACTAAGACAATGCACATGCAGATGTGTTGGCCGACACTTCCATGTAGCATTGAATGAATAAATCTCCATAAAGCGACTGCATTCTCTGGGTTTCTGAGGAACAGCATCAACAGTTGGGCAAAGACCAGGAGAAGGATGAGGTAAACCAAGCAGTAATTGCCACAAGCTGTGTCACTCATCAAAATAATTGACAGCATTTTCTTTAAAATGAGAAGACTGTTTATCCTAGTGATTCCAGCCAAGTGGATTGGTAATAAGGCTCTGGTTTTGTCATGTTTGCTCTGGCAAGCATTGCTCTGGATCCGTGGGTGTGAATGGTTTTTCAGTTTTGTGAAGGGTTTAACAACACAATAGTAAAACTAATCTTATATTGTTAACTGTTCAGTTGTTCAGGCAACACTTTAATGTAATTCATAAAAAACGTTACTTTAAAAGCTACACCCTAGGAACATTTTTACAGTGTTTTATTACAGTAAATTATTTTTGTTTTTATGTTCCTATGTTATAGAGCAAAATAGATCAGCACATATTTGAGATATTAAAGAAAATGATAAATCATTTTTCAAAATGCTTTCAAAATTTAAAGTTAAAATTTAAAAAGTTTAATGTTTGATATTCATCATGTTGTTTTTTTTATGTAATATTGATAAATAATTTTCCTGAAGAAAGTCGGACAAACAGGGCAATGTAAGTGAGGTCTTTATCAATGTGTCTGGCCCTTTTTTTATCCTATGCAGCAGAAACCGAGTCCAGATCCTTTGAAAACATCCTACATTCTTGTACACCCTAAGTCCTTCCTCTCATGTGTCAGTTGTGGTCAAACAAGTTTGTGAGCAGTTGCGTAGAGATTAGAAAGTCCATTTTAGGCCGGTGAAATAAACAAGCATTTTTTGGGCCTTCTTCAGCAGGTGTGAAATGTTCTCGGGAGTGGTCAGAGGAATGTCATTAACATAATGCTGTCCACATGCTCTACCTGCTTCACTTGTTTGCAGAGAGGAGAGTGTCCAGTCTCTTGCTTTCCATTAAGGCCTCCTTGATTTTACTACTGTTCAATCTGCTTGCTACTGTTCAAGTTTTTTCCTTGAGCACCACTCTATCAGATTGTGAACCACTTATCTCTAGTTGGCCTTAACATTGTTAGGTTTGCAACCAACCACAGTGGTGTCACCCATAAACGCACATTTTGCAGATAGCAGAGCAGGGGGATGTAAATCGAGGGAAGAGGGCAGGACTGAGAACACCACCCTGCGGCATGCCAGTGTTAACGATAAGTGGGGAAGATGTGATTTACTGATCCAGGAGCAAAGTGACATCAATAACTAAAGTTGGGGAACTACACAGCTCAGCCAAAAAATAAATACATAAAAAGGAAAAAGGTAAAAAGATAACTAGGTCACATACTTAAAATCTGCCAAAGCTAAGAATTCCTGTTTACAGTTTTCTACAAGGCATTTAGGGAGCACAGCAGTCATGCAGGCTAATGTGCTCTGGTTGACCTGGCATAAGCCAGATTGATACATATAGTTCATTCAGAATTCTACACATTATCCATCTGGATGTCCTACTGTAGAAGGTGTTAGCAAAAGGGAGCGACATTTAGTATAACTAATGAAGCTGAATGAGTAAATCACAAATCTGGATCAAATCGGCGCAGCTATGATTATTTTACTTTAACCCCTTCTGGATTAAGCATCGATGTCATACATGTAACTGCATTTCATGGTCCGAAACATTTATATGCATCAGTTAGCAAGATATATATTTGGGAGTGATCTCACAAATGCCCTGCAATGGACTGCCGACCTGTCCAGGGTGTACCACACCTCTCCCCCGCTGGAGATGGGCATCAGTACCCCTCCTGACCCTGCCTTTTTGGATGGGTGGATGGATCTCATAAATCTTGCGACAATTCATCTTTCTTGCCAGGTAAGGCTCTGAATAGAAGAAAAAATGTACTACAGCTTTTCGGCCAATATGGTTTGTGGACAACTAACAATGAATATCATGATAAACAAACCATCCCTACAGTAGACATGTTGTGTCAGCATCATACTATGAGGGGGTTCCTATTGTTAACAGGGTTGGGTAAGCAGCTCAGAGATAGAGATCAAAGTTGGGGCTAAATAGGGGACAATCTTAGATGAAAATATGTTTTCCAACAAGACAATTAGATGGTTTAGATCTATTCCTTTGATTGAATGGCTCTGTCAGATTAATTTCCCAAATACAATTCAAAGTTTTGCTAAGGCTTAAAAACTGCTGCTTATATATTCCTTTCAATTTGACTGAGACTGGTCTATTATGCAAATTATGGGCAAAAATTAATTAAGATTTAACTAGCCGAAAGAAGATTTCATACAGAGTTTGGAGATGAATGGATGCCACACTTTCCAGATAGATTCTCACTTTACAGCCATATATAATATCATATATTTCATTATATATTTATCTTATTTTTTTTCCAATCTTTTTCTGTGTGTAAAACTGGCAGGTCCCCACAGGCCTTTGTATCACTTCTCAGGCAGGCGACTGATTGACAGGACCTTGCTGATGGTGGACCCTCCTTCCCAGCGTCTCCTCCTCTCTCTCCTCTCCTCTCCTCCGCTCTATCCTTTCCCTCTTCAATCGCAAAGCTTCGCTCAACGACTCGACACCGCGATCAGGGATGCAGCGAGGGCGCAGCGCAGCCTAGAAATGGCACCACCACGCGCACCGTGGATCTATCCATCCCTTTCCCTGCTGTCTTCCCTTCTCCTCTTTTTCCAAGCGTCTCCGCCGTGCACAGCCTTACGGAATTACCCGGAGAATGAAGGTGGGTGAGCGAGCCTTAGGGAAGGAGTGGAGTTTGGTGACCCGGGTGTTTGCGCTCTGTGTCAGCGGCGGATGGGAAGCCCCATCCAGCCGGTGGTTCCTCGGAGCGGAGCGGAGCCCTGCGCTCAGCCGCGGCGCAAAGTGCTCGTCCCTGTTATAAATCATGCATGGAGAAAACCCGGAGTGTTCGTCACGTTTTCCTTTCCCCGAGCATGCTGACATAAAATTTGTATTATATGTGCACAGAGACAGATAGAGCTCTGAGGTCATTTGACTTTCTGACACAGGGAAAGGCTTTTTTACGTTACAAATCTTCCCCTGACTTAACTTATAATGATTATACCAAAACAACATTGGCATCTTTCCCAAAGTCTGTCTTAATTATCAGTATCTTCATTTTTACATACTGATAAATGATGATTTTTTTTTGCTCCTCTTGCCTCAGTCTGCAAATGAGGAGCAGCAATTACATTAAATTTGTCACACGCTGCTGCTGAGCCTCTCCGGGTTATTGTATTAACATCGATGCTCAGTCTGTAATTTGCCCATACATTTACTCTCTAACTGTTCCTGACTGCTTGTTGGAATGAAACATGGGAGCTGGGCTGTTTTTAATGGAAGTTGAACTAAATGCAGAAGTTTTTTTTTTTTTCCCCCAAAACAATGAAGCAGTTATTTTCCCTAAGTGACTTGATAGAAACTGGAAGAGGCAGCCTGATTGAAGATGATACAGCTGTGAGTTGTCACTCTGTGAATCATTTCGTTTGACATTCTCTGAAAACTCCAGTCAGTCTTGATCTGTTTGCTCAACAAAGCATCCTCTCCTTGTGATGCTTCCTTTTCTCAACCACACAGAAATATCAACTCAGGACAGATATACCAGTCAAAGAACCTACATCACACAGTGGAAGGTGTAATGGGACCTTCTGATTTAGGCTGACTCAACAGCATAAAATGCTTTTTGCATACATTGTGCTGCCTAGCCTGGAACTCCACACACACAAAGCAAATACTCAGGAGGATATGTTGGTATGGAGGAGAAGGAGTGGTTAAGGCGCACGATAAAACACGTGAAGGAGACTATAAAAGATTGCTGAAATATTAATTGAGACGAGCATGCACGATGAAACCATCTGGAAGTCATAGGAAACTCCTGTTGATTTAGATAAAAGCTTTAAGCCGTGGGAGTCTCTGGGATGTTTGTTATTCTCAGTGTATGTGTGAACTTCTGAAAGGTGCCAAGGTTTGAAACAACAACAACAACAATAATAATAATAATAATAATAATAATAATACAGGTTTAAAGACCCTTTGATGAGTCAAAAAAGCATACCAGTGAGCTGTGTTATCTCTAATTTTAATGGAGCATAAGGTAATGCACCCTGCACTTGTTGTGTCCTTTCCCATTGTGAAACATGGCAGTGCCAGCAGCATCATGTTGCAGGGAAGGGTTTTTTTTTCTTACAAAATTATAGGCTTTAATAGTGCTGCAACAAATCAGGAAAATATGCAAATATACTGTTTAAGAAAATTGCAATGCCCCCTCTGCTACTTGAGCCATCAGTCGCTGAAGATGTACATAATGTGGGCATTAAAGACAGTTGCAGTTTAGTTGCTGGATTGTATGTAGGTAATTATCTGTCTGTAGTTTTTCCTAGGTCAGTTAATTGGCAAAAATTGCACCTCTAACCCCAAAGCACATCTTGTGTTTTTAAAAGTTTTAGTAAAGAAAGCATTTGTGTGATCCAAGGGGAGAATTATTCAATAAAACACATTTCAGTCACACCTTTTGGACTCCTAGTTATGGTTGTGACCACACCTTTATACCGTTTCCATCTTGTTCTTATGTTTGTATATTTTGCACTCATGCATCTCAGTGCATTTTGCATTCAAGAAAATCCTCCCTTTGAGTCTGTCTAGTCAAAAAAGAATGTCTTAGTAATAAAAGGGAGAGAGGAATATACTGCCTATTGATTCCATAGCTAGAGCACTATAAGAAAACTGTGATGCTTTTAAAAGCTTCCTTTAGTACCTGCAATTGATCTGCTCCAAAACTGTTGGCATTTACAAGGAATTTGTACCTAAAGGTGGATTTGGCTGAAGGAGGAGTTCTGACAGAATTACTCGAATGTAGGTGAGAAAATGGTGCAGCAGGAATGAATCATTTCAGAACTTGAGAGAGGGAGTGGTTTATAGTACTCTGAAATCTTTGTTTTGAATGTTGAAGAGAAGTGGAGGACGTCAGTAGCAGGGGTACACCAGCAGAGGGAGCCCTAGATACCCTCTGTCTGGACCCTGAGGGCTTGCTGATGTAATCAGAGGCAGGATACTCACAGGTCTTCCCTTTTTAGGAGTGTCCTCATCCCTTCGCTGTGTCCTTACTCCCTCAACCAAACAGGCTATTCTCTGACAGATGTTTTTGTGTGGAACCATCTTATTTTTGCTAAATATTTTTTCTTTTATTTCACCTTATGCAGCTAAGAAATAATAACTGTGTAAATTCATTAAAAGGAAATGAATAATTTAATTACTCAGATGTACAAAATTGCAATTGCATTAAAAACGGGAGGGTGGGGAAAAAATACAACACAGCATTTGAAAATTTTACATCGCAGCAGTTTAGAAAATACAGCTTTCCACCGAACTGACCTCAGGCTGTTCAGGGAAATTGCTTTATAGCCTCTTAGGGTCAACATGAAGGTGAGCAGTTTTAGTGCAAAGGCAAGCATGTTTTATGTTAAGCCTGTTCTGGTTTTTAGCCTAACACACACACAGGCACACACCTACACACACATCCAAACTCCATCTGATTCAAACAAGAACCTGACTACGGTATAATGCCGGGTCAAAGGTCTCATCTGCTTTAATTGCTTCAATCTATAATGGCTGCTTGTAGTTATCGGCAGAGCCATACCTCAGTGAGCACGTGTGCGTCTGTGTGAGTGAGGCCGAGAGATTGCTCTGCTCCCATGTAACAGCCATGACCTTGGACCGAGGAGGATATAGATCTCCCCTCTCATCAGAGAGCAGCAGACAGAAGCAGCAGGAAAGAGCATCCTCTAGTTCCTTTTTATTTCTCCATTTTCTCTCTAATACCCTCTTTTTATATCTCCCCTTCTCTGGTTTATTTATTTGCCCCTTTCATTCCTTCCATGTCTTACCTTTTACTTGCTTTTACCCTCTGTGATTGCCTTGCTGCATTTATTGTGACTTCGTACAGAGCCGTTATTCCGAACCTATGGTATGGCTTTTGAAATGAGACAGAGGATATAAATGGATCTAGACATGCTCAAATTTGAATTTTGTGACCAATTTTTATTATAATGATGTTTTAGACAATTAACAACAGTGAAACTAAGACTTTGTCACTTGAAGAGTTCTGGATAAAGAATATTGACAGATGAAAAAGTTGTTTTATATTACATGAAAAAAAAAATCTATATATATTTTTATACAATTTTGTTTTTTAACAATTTTGGTTTAATGTTTTCTCATAGTGTGTTGCTCTGTCAGCTAAAGGCGTGTTTTAGGTTCTCTATTCTCCAGTGGATGATTACTTGATTACTAAGTTATTTTAATATTATTTCAATAATAGATTAATCACAATTAATTTGGTTAATTGTTTCAGCCCTAAGTAATGCATAGAACTTATTGCATTTCAGATCATGAAGTAATGTATGACCTTAAGAAGATTATAGTGGTATGTGTATAGCAAAAAAATAGAAATCTTAGAGCTGCTCCACTGAAGCTAGGGACACACTTGGATGCTGCGAAACTTAAGAACTGTATGACAGGAAACTTTGGTGGTTTGGTAACCATAAAATTTTTTTCAAATCAGTATGCCATGAAATGGTTAACCAGCCCATTTCTTGTGGCATGTTTCAAAGTTGAAAACTAAGAAAAGATAGAACAGAAAAATATTATTTGTTCTAAACACTTTTACAATTTTTCCATCTCCTTATTATGAAGGTAGCTATTGACGTTGCTTAAAGTAGCCAGGAGTTGCTAAATGAACACCTAATTCTTATATGTATTCGTCACCCTTTCACTTTATAGAATGATGTAAGAGAGATCTGCATAGATGTGTACACATTTGCCATGTAGAAACAATGTCCTGGGCAAACTCCATGCAGAAAAGCCTTTATGAACTTAGCATGTTCCCACCATGCATGTATTTTCTCTGTCTGTATATGTCTGTAATCCCTCCTACAGGCCATGAAATTCACTCGAGGTTATCTGGCATCTCTAAGTTAGTCCTAGGAGTAAGGTGTCTGTTTGCTTGATTTTCCAAGAATTTTATCTTGAAATGCTTCAATATAGCGAAAGAGTTGCCTGCATCAAGTCTGGTCTCTCTCGCTCTCTCTCATCTGAAATGAAAAGCAGACACTTTAACACTGGGAGTTCCTTTCACATACATTCCTATGTGTCAGGGCATTTGTCATCTCTGAATTTATTTTCAAACCTTTAACTCACAATGAAATCTGCTAACTGTGGGCCTTTAGTATTTAGCCGCAGTTTCCAAACTGTGTTTGTTTGCATTCCATGGTAATTGTTCGGTATGTATGTATGGTGCTTTAACTATTGACAAAAAGATCTTGCTCTTAAGTTTTTTTTAATCAGCCATTCACCATTCAGGGCCGATAATTCTGGAACTGTTAAATCCTTGTCTACCACCAACGTTGTGACATTAGAGGGTGACATAGGCATGGATCTTCATTTTTCATTTTCCCATCCCACTTTCACAGAAAAAGAATCTTGTCTTATTGCAATGCCCGGGGACAGAAAAAAAAAAAAAAACTTGAATGAAATGGTTATCACTCCCAACAGAATCCTGAGTAAAAAAAAGTCCTAACAAGACAAAAAAAATGGCTTAACCTTTTCCAAGTTCTGTTTTTTTCTGTTTATGAAAAGGTATTTCCTCTGCCTAAATGTATCCTGTAATCATGCACATTTTTTGATAAAATTCTTAAAATTTTAGAAGCTGAACATAATTATATTTTT